TGGGGCGAGCGAAGAACAGCGGCCGGCCTTGCTCCGAGGTGCTCCCCCGGAAGCCAATGGCGGCTACATCCTAACCCTGGATTAAGAAACCGCAATTGCAGCGTTCGCATGACACGCCTTGGCCGACCGTACGTACGACACAAATTTGCCAACCCTGGCGTGCCCTCTTGGGCACAGGAGGGGGCATTCAGACCAGAGAAGGAGATACGATTGGGAATCTGCCCCTTCCACCCCCCAAAAGAAGGACAGAGTTTGGTGGGATTTGGCCTCCAAATTTGGCGGGCTTGACCAAATGCCCAGAAGCTAGCCAACGGTGTGGCATTTTCCTTTTGAAGAGAGAGAGAAAATTCTGCTTCCAGGGTCTCAAAAAAAGCCAAACGAGGTAGAAGCTCTGCAGGTTGAAAGAAATCATTGAGTAGAAAACAATCCTGGTTTTGTTTTGTTTTTATGACCAACCCAGGTTGGTGTATTTTTGACCGAAGGCCGGTCACGAGAATACGGGACCCTGCGTTGCCGATTCTCCCCTCCACTGAGTTTGCATCCTTTGTGGCCCCTCCCCAGGACGCAGCCAAGCAGCTGGAAGACCCCAGACCCTTTCCAGACTCCCCAATGGAGCCTAATGGTGCCAGGGAAGTGTGCGGCTCAACGAGGGGCCGCCAGGTGGCACTGCCAGCCCAGCTTTGGCGATTTTGGACTGTGCCCGGATTTCTCAGCAGTTTTTTTCCTCATTTAAAAAAAAAAATTATCAGCAAAAAGTGCCTTTCTTATATCCTTGTTTTTTTAAAAAAAACTGGACGCCAAGGCATTCAGGCGCCTCCCTGCAGACCCTTTTCAGTTTTTAAAGAGAATTTATTTGGTGGTTCTGCTTTGCACCCCTCCTAAGCAACCGGTAAAAAGCTATGAGGCAGTTTACCACCTCCAAACACTGTGGCACCCCAAAACCTTTTCCAGGGTGGCCCCAGAATCCACGAAGCAGGAGGAAAGCGTTGGGTGGCTCAGCCTGGAGAAGACTTCGGGAACCTCACCAAAGCTCCTGCCGCTTCCTTTGGCCCCGCCCGCAAAGGTAGACTGCTTCTGGACTTGGAGGCTCTCCCATCTTCAGATAGGGTGGAGCCCTCTCCGATCCAGCATCCCCGCTTGGAAGAGGAGCCAGCCAGATGTTGTGTAGCAAGAACAACTTGGAAACCTTTTTTTCCTTCTTTGCTGTTGACCGCCCAACCGGCTGCCGATATAGGGGCACAAAAGCAGGAAGCCGTTTTTTTAAGTTCTTAGAAATGGCTTCCTTGCTCTCCTCGCCTCCCTCAGCCCAGCCCCAACTGGCAACCTCCCAGGTCATCAACCACATCTGCAGGCCTCTTGGCATAAAGAGAGAGGAAACATCTGGCAGCTTCGCACACATACAGAGCGTCTAACTTGGCATTGTCTTCCCAGTTTTGCAAGAAGCCGCCGCTGAATTAATTTGGAAGAGGACCAAAAGCCGAATGCTGATGTTTAACATCAGCCAGCAGAGAGGCTGGGGGGGGAGTGCCCCCCCCCACAGCACCCCTTGTCTCAGTTTTGGAAATTAACCTAAACTTCCTTTTGGTCTGCAACCACAGAGGAGGAGAAACAAGACACCAATTTAATGGTCTCCACTGGACAGTAATCACCGAGTAAAGAAAAATTAATTTTCTGCAAATTTGGGCAAATTCTGCTGAGGATTTGGCACTGGGTGTCCTGGCTGCTGCTTTCCAGGGGTCTGCGAAGGGGACTTGTCCAGACTTTGTGGGAGACAAAGCAATTTCGGTGACCTGGTCACGGTGCTGCAGCGTTGGTGGAAATTGGGATGTGTGGCTGATGGGCCTCCATTTGGCGCAGGAATTGTGAGTCGGCCCCTCCTTGCCGTCGCTACACAACCATCTCTGTCGCAGGAGCCCTCAATGGCTTGGCCAGCTGTGCTGCACCTCTGGCGTCCGAATCGAAACGGTTTAAACAGCTGCCTTGGCTAAGGACCAGCTCTTGTTTCTCCGTCTCGGCGGCTCCTTGGAAAGACAGGTCCCATAGTGCACTGCCGGACAACAATTCCCAAAGCTGAGGAAGGGGATGGAGAGGGCCGTTGCAGCCAAGCCACAGGAGGGGCTCCCCAATTTCCTCAGCTTTGGGAGATGGGGAAGCCGATCCGCCAGCCCGTCTCTGGCTTGCTCTAACCGCAAGATGGAAAGTTAAAAAAAAAAAAACATGAATTAAACTCCTGAGCTCATATCTGGCCCAGCTCAAGGGTTTCTTTGGGGGGGGGGCTGTTTTTCCTAACCCGGCCACCTGCCCAATTTGGGGAGGGGGTGTCTTGTCAAGATGAAGCAGGCAGGAAGAGACTGGGGGGACGGTCTGCTGCAGCCATCAGATCTTTTTATTCTCCAAGGGAGCCAAGAATGATGGGGTGGGGGGGTTTGTCAGAGATGGCCAGATGTGCTGCAGAGGCAGGAAGGGCCGAGAGCAGAGAGGCCCTGAAGGCTGCAGCCATCAGCCAGATGTTGGGGAAAGCTGGAAGGGCAGCCTGGCCCCTCCAGAAAAGAAACTCTTTGGGGGGAAACCCCCCCCAACCTGGAGACCCCCAGCTGCCTCTCCTTCCTGGAGTTGTAACCCACCTTAGTCTGCTGGGGAGAAGCCAATCAACCTCCAGCTGTTCTGGACAAGCTCTCCTTGGCCTGACCGTGTGGGATGGGAATTGTAGTCCAGATAAATACCTCCGACTGGACTTGCCTTCCTCCAGATTGTGGAGGAGAGCAAATTAGGTCAGGAATTGAAAAGGTTACACTCGCTTAGCAGGGGGCTGGACTAGAAGACCTCCAAGGTCCCTTCCAGCTCCAGAATTCTATACTGGGGGGGGAGGGCAAAGGGCAGAGGGTGCGAGGATTGGTAGTCAAGTTGCTTTTCCATCACTGTCGTGACTGTGAAGGGTCACTAAACGAGGCAGTCGCTGTACAAAGGCTGGGAAACGCCCGTTGTGTAAACACACCCGTCAGACTTCTGCACAAACACACACAGATAACGCACAAGCAGCGTGTCGCCTTTTTCAGGCGGCCGATTGCCGCGCTGGGTCTCCGTTCCGAACGGGGCGAATGTTAGTCCTTCTTTTGCGACCGAATTAGGCGTGGTTTTTTTTTTCTTATTTTTTTTTTTTTTACTTCTCTTATACGAAGTTAAAACAATGAAATATACACATATATTAATACTTTATGTACATTTTTTTTTAGAAAATAAAAGTGCTGCAAGGAAGAACGTTCCACACACACGCTCCGACCCCCCCTCCCAATATCCTGCCCACGTGATTAAAAAAAACCAAAATGGCTTTGCAGCCCCCCTACCCCCCCCCACCCCGGTGGGTTCTCGGTGTCCGGACGGCACTTAGCAAAAAAAAAATAATAAAAAAAATGGGTCCGTTTGCAGATTCTCTCCTCCTCCTCTTGGGTTGCTCCCACCCCCCCATTTTGGAGGAGGAGCAGATTTAGGGACCGTTGCAAGTACATCAAAAGAATTCCCCCCCCCTTTCTGGTTTTTACACTTTTTTTTAAAAAAAAAAGGAGGCATTTTTTTTCTTTTGTTTTGCAAGCCACAGTTGTGCAAAAGCCACTCTCCGATTTCGGAGCATTGTGGGGAAACATCTTTACATTATTCTCACTGTTCATGAAGACAAGACTGGAGACGGGGGGGGGGGGGGAAGCGATCTTGGAAACAAACCTCTTTGTGGACTAGCTCCTTGCACGGGCTGGTTTTGAAAAGCTGCGGCTTCCAAACTCAGCCAGCCAAGAAATCGAGGCCTAGGTGAGCAGGATGAACCAAACTCTGCCCGATTGGGGGTGGGGGGGTAACTTGAGAAGAAATTTTGGGGAACCCCCCCCCACAATGGAGATAATCTGGCCTTCATCGGAGTGGTCAAAACTGGGCGCAAGGAAGAACGCCAGCCAAGAGGGATTATTTGGGGGGGCACGGCCAGGACCCTGACGTCCTTTCCTCGCCGAAGACAGAGGGAGGGAACGGCTGCGAGTTCAAGTCCTGCAAAAGCTCACTTCTCAGAAGGCCACCCAACCGACCGGAGCCGCCGTTCTCTGCCCTTTGGGGAGAAACACACACGCACAAATATCAAAAGTGCTACAAAGACGGGGTTGTGGAGGGGGAACCACCCTTGCCGGCCCCCCCTCCCCACTAAGCGAACACGGTTCCCTAACCCCGGAAAAGGGGCAGGTGGTCCAGCTTGACCTGAGTTCAGATCATTCGGAGTCGTTCAAGCATCACATTTCGATTGGCCTTCGGAAATGCAGCTGAATGTCCCCCCACCCCAACGGACCCTGGGAGGCCGCCCCGTTCGAAAAGGACGAGCCCACCCCGAAATCTGCCCCGGGACCCCTCCCCTGCCCCCTTTTTCTCCACATCCTTTGAAAATTCCAAGTTTTTTTGCAAACGCAAACGTTGACCTTTGAGTCTTTCGGTCAAGCGGGCAGTCAAAACGCGACTGTTTGCAGGTTGGCCCTGGCAGAGAGGAGGTGACCCCTATTCCTGGCCGGTTGCTCGAAGGGGTCTCTGCTGTCCTGGAGGATCCGTGCCCAAGCATCTCGCCAGCCTCTGGAAGCAAAATTCGGTGCCCGTTGGCCGGACGCGAGCCGGGACGGGCATCCTGGGCGAAGATCTGTTGCATAAGGAATGGGTGAGGGTGGACTTTGCCGAGGCGGCCGCCTGCACGGCCTCACCCGTGAGGTAGGGAGGAACGGCCAGCTTTGCTACTTTGGGGGCCCCTCGGGGCCCCCCGGAGGCCGAAGAAGCTTCTGGAAGCATCTCGCAGGAAGAGAGGAGGAAGCAAGGGTCCCTCCAGCCGAGCCCACCTGCGCCACCCGCCTGGGACCTTCCCTTTCACAAGGCACACTCGGATTTATAATCCCTGGGGATGTACGTGGCCAAAGGGGGACCTTCGCGGAGGGGCCCGGCCCTGGGTTCAAGTGACGCGCACGCTTCTCCTTCCGCCTGGCTCAATAGTGGAAAGGGCCGGAGGGCTGGGAGGGCGGAGAAGAAGGCTGGAAGAGAGGCTGGGGGACCATGCCCGGCTTCATCAGTGAGACGGACCGCCGGATGCCGCCCCCGTGGTTGGGCAGCGGCCCCTGGTCGCCGTAGCTGTGTTGCCGGGCCAGGAAGATGGCGTGGTGGCCCTCGTGGGGCACGGAGCTGCCGGTGGAGTGCATGCGGGTCAGGAGGGCGGGGGGCAGCCTCCCCGCCTGGCCCAGGCTGTGCTGGCGCATCAGCAGCCCCCCACCGCCCCCACCCACGTTCACCAGCTTTGGGGCGCCGCAGAGGGAATGTCTGTGGGCGACGGAGCGGCTCCCTTTGTCCAGACCCGCCGGTAAAGGGGCGTCCGGAGGGATGTCCAGCCGGCGAGGCAACGTGGAGGCGTTGTAATACGGGGCGCTCTCCAGGTTGGGCACCTTCGGCTGCACCCGGTTGGCAAAGGCCACGGCCGAAGGCGGGAAGGCGGCGGGCACGGAGGCCCCAGCCCCGTGGAGGTGTTTGAGCAGCTCTTCCAGGGTGGTGACCTCCATGCCTTTGGGCAGCGGGGCGGGCCGCACCAGCACCCGCTCCGAGTTGGGGATCTTCTTCTCGTCCAGGTAGCCCCCCAGGGGGGCGTCGTAGCCGTGCAGGTGCCCGGGGACCCCTCCCGGGCCGGAGAAAGAGAAGGTGTTGGGCACCGGGCCGTGGAAGGGCAGGGCCTTCCCATGGGCATCCTTCGCGTTGTTGAAGTTCTGGTTTTTCTCCCACTGGTTCCGGATGGCCTTCATGTTCTTGACCGGCAGCTCGGGCGTGGACTCCGGGGTGGGCAAGGCCGAGAGCTCGGGGTGCTCCCGGACCCCTGGTTTGGCCGGGGCACTGGGCAGCTCCTTCTCGCTGGGCAGCAGGGTGGTGTAGAGCTGGGGGGCGGCCGTCTCCACCAGCCCGTCCTTGGCCTGGCCGCCCTCCAGCAGGGTGTTCATCTTGGCCAGGCTGCGGAGGGAGAGCGGGCGCTGGATGCCGTTCTCAGGGTCCTTGCCCCCCGGGTGCTTGGGGCGCTGCAGGCTGTGGCTGCAGTAGCAGGAGACCAGCAGGCCGGAGAGGAAGGCGCCCAGGAGGAAGGCCACGAAGACGCAGCCGATCAGGAAGGTGAAGTGGACCGACCTGGCGCCGTCTTTCGCCTCCGGCTCCTGCCTCACGCCTAAAGATGCGGCCGGCGGGGGGAGAGAGAGGAAAAGAGGGGTCAGGAGGGAGACTCCCTTCCTACGAAGGCCCAAGGGCTCACCCCAGCCCCTTCCAGCTGAGCCAAGGTCTCCAGAACTTCCCACATCATGCAGGGAGGACCCACCCCGACGTTCCTGGGGTGCAGCTGCTTTTCACTGCCCACGGGGACCCCCCACGGAAGGACCACATGGGGGACCAGGGAGGGCAATGAGGTGGAGATGTTAGTAGAAAGCAGGGTGGTGGTGTGGAAAGGCAAGCAGGATGCTCCCAAGATCCAGCAGGAGAAACAACAGGCAACTGGGATGGTGCAGGAAGACCCACTAGTTCCCCCCTCCCAGGCCGTTGCTGCACCCCAAAACTTTCTCGAGGGGCCAGGATGCTGGGGAAGAGAGCAACTGGGCTTCACATTGGCTTGCACAATCTTTGCAAGGGTGCGACTCCTGGAGAGACACATTGCTGGATCCATCTGCAGTTGCAAAAGACCGGCAGCAGAGGAGAAAGTGGAACGTTGCAGTGGGTGTGTGTTCACACACGTGTGTACACACTCCGTGCAAGGTAGAGGGTGGTTCAGTCTAAAACCCGGGTCACTCATGAAGAGGGAACGGCGAGCGGCGACTTATCAAGAGTTCTCTGTTCCCAAAACCAAGGAGAAATTCACCCAAGGAGAATAAAAACGGGCTGCACGTTTTTAGGGAAGGTGGAAGGGTGATACAACTCTGCTGTTGATTAAAAATACCTTACAGGGGTGTCCCCCCCCCCCGTTTTAAAAGCACAAGCGAGTTTAATGAGCCTGCTTCTTTTAAATCGTTCAAATGGTACAATTACATAATAAGGAGATTTAATTAAAGGCAGCCGAACAGGTCAACACAGCCATCACTTTTAATGACCCAGAATAATATAGTCCTGTTTCATTTAGGGGGAAAAAAAAAATCTTTATTTTCTCTGTGCCCGGGTGTGAAATGAAACTGGCTGACGTAACCCTCTCCTGTCCTCCCAGGGAAAGAGATCCACCGATTTAACACCAATGTCATTCCTTCGTGACTAATTTGATTACATCGATTTTTTTTTAGAGAGGAGAAAAAGTGAGATATTTTTGTGCGTCGTTTCTTGGATCCAAATCTCTCACCACGTTCCATTAATGGTCCTCTGTGCCTTTAAGGACAAGCCTAGCAACCATCATTTTTATCCGTTAAATTTCTTTCTCCCGGTTAAAACTGCTTTCTGAATCACCCAGATTTTTAAAAAAAATGGTGCAATATACATAAAAACCCACAGCCGTATTTGCAGAGCGATCAGCTAATTATAAAGACGCAGTGATTGCATTCATACAGCACACAAAACCTGGCTAAGGTTAACCTGGTTTGTTTGTGGCTTTTGGTGTGCTGGCAAAAATCCAACCCCTGAGCCCAGAAAATGGTTGGATCGCACGACGTATTTAACCTGCTTGCTGAACTAACCTAGAAAATGGGCTAGTTCAGCAAGCAAGTGAAATGCGTCATGGGAACGTAGCTAGCGTGCGCAAAAGGGAACGCCGAAGCTTGCACAGACGGCTTACGTGCAAGAAGGAGAGTGCCAGAGACGCCACATAAAAGCCTTGGCGAGCGTGACTTTTGGGGCACGTGTTTTCAATTAAAAGAGGCTCAACTGTTTTGCCTCACAGCATCACCAAGGCTGGTTTGCCAATGTGGAAAAGGAATAAAAATGGAGGGAAGGGCCGTGTTTGGGGAGGGGGCCGAGACAGTGAATGGGAGACAAGAGCAAGTAAGAAAACAGAAAGGAGTGAAGGAGAACGGCCAGAGGAGCGAGCCGAAACACCAGCAAAAGGAGAAATATTGGGACCTAGAACAGCTGGACCTCTTTGTGTGTACTGTATGTGTGCAAATGTGACACCAAATAAGTGAAGCCGGGCACCACCAGCCCCATTGCCCAGGAGAGTCTTTGACTGGTGGGTTGGCACCCAAAAGGATGCCTTGAGATCTCTGGGGGGGGGAAATATCCATCCTCCTCTGAGCAACTGTGAACTGGAAACACAGTTGGAAAAAAGCTGGGTTTTGTGGGTCATTTGTGCCTTCCTCGCCTCACACATTTCCGCGCCTAACAAGGGCCCTGCTGTTTTGTTTTTGTCTTTCCCCCACTTGCAACCAAGATTTAGAACCCACTCAGATTTCCAGCCAACGGCAAACATTTCCACAATCTGTCTGGAAACCGGCTTTCTGGGGGTGTTTTGTTTTTCCAGATTTTCAGAAATGTTTTGCTTTCCCAGTCTGCGCCTTTCGGGACGCTTCCGTTATGGATGGCAAAAAGTTTTAGCCCTGGAAATTGGATTCTTGGTGGGGAATTTGTAGCCCCGTAAATCTGGACGCCGACAATAGGCGAAGAGAAGCGTTTGACTTTTCAAAAATTTCAGCTGTTAAATGTATTTTCATCCAACCAGAACTTTTTCACAAGGCTTTTTCAAGACAGCTTTTTTTGTGTGTGTGTTTTTATTGTTTTGTTTTTTTTGGTAGTAGTGAGGAAGAGATGAAGAGAATTTTCCATTCTCAGTTTTGTTTGAGGGGCCTTTTTCTCTTACGCTCCAGACCAGAAAAATTTTTTGCAGCTTGCAAGTTTTGTCCCAACTCTGCAGACATTTTATCAATTGCTGAATGTTTTATCTCCTCCTTTCCAAGTTAATAAAAGGGCTTTTAAAAAAAATCGCAGAGTTGTGTGTTGGGGAGGGGGGTGGAGATCAGGAAGGAAAGAAAGAAACACACAGTTTTATCTTGCCTGCCACAGCTTCCCCCCGACCTCTAGACAAAGCAAAGTCTGGGGAATTTTTATTTTTTTCCAAGAGTCTAAAGCAGCAAATTTCCACTGCACAAATGGTGCGTAATGGCTCACTTTGGAGAGAATGTGGTTGCAGGCTTTTTGGTCAATGCAAAACACCTGCAGACTGTTTCACCACAATACGCCTACAAGCGCCATCTAGAAGATGAAGTGGTTTTCAAGTCCTGCCCTGAGAAGATGTCCGTACTAAATAGTGAAGGAGGAGGGAAACGATAACCCCAAATACGTAGAAGGTGGGGGTCTGCCCACCACCAACCCAAACTTCCTCGCTTCATGGTTGAGCAAGTGAAATTTTGGAAACCAACACCGGAAGATCCTGGCCAGAGCAAAATAGGGACCACGCTGAAGTCACCACGGGAAACCAATGTAGACGATAAGCAATCTCAACAGGAACCCACAATGTTGGCTATTTTGCAGCAGGAGAACAATTTAGCTGCTCCAGCCCCACATTTGAATTTCAAGCCTTAGGGTAAGAATAGCAGCACCCCCCACCACCACATGCCGATGATTTTGGATTACAACCCTCCTGATTCTTAGCCTTGCTAGTGGTGGATGGTGGAGTCTGTAGTCCCACCAAGAGAGGAAAAGACTTGGACTGTGCCTGGCCGTGCAGGTTTTCTCCACTCAGCTGTATCTGAAATAGTGTCAGGCGGGGTCCTTTCTTTGCAGGCAGGGGCATCTCACAATGGCCCCCTCCAGTCCTTGTGCCTGCAGAGAGGTCAGAAGGCACTCTAGGAGCCCCCACCCCATTTCACATGCAGTGTGCAGGTCCAACGGTGCACAGCCTCGCTCGCATGCGTCGACGTTCCAGGTTGCAGGGTTAGACCCGCCTGCTTCACATTAGTGACCTCGTGCAGGCAAGCATTATTTTGGGGGGGGAGAAGAGGAGGACCTCCTTACCCTGCGTGCTCACAGCCACATGGAGGGTGAAACGGGGGTCCCCCGCACCAGGGGCTGGGTGGGCGCCGGGAGCCAAGCTAGCGGAGGGAGACCCTGGGGGCGCCTCTGAGAAGAGCCCGGAGGACGCTGGGGTGGTCTGCACATCTCCTGCGTCAGCAGTGACAAACACACCATCAGGATTTAGTCTGTCCCCCCTCCCCAAGCAAAAAGCCGATGGCACAGAAAGCTGCCTACAACCTCAACCATAACCCTGCGGGGCAGACTGAGACATTTTCTTGGCCTAAAGGAGATTTGAACTCAACTCTTTGCTCCATCCCAGTCTGGGGGGGGGAGATACATTTGTGAGGAGGGGTCCAGGCTATTTTTAAATAAAAGGGGGGTCCAGATGAACTCCAAATGGGTCAATGAAGACCCACTTGGCTGGTACACAAGTCCATTTTTGGGCCCCAACCAACCTCAGACGGGCACAGCCTGAACGATGGTATCCAAGACCCAAAGGCTGAACCAGGGCTTGTTCTTGTTCGAAGCCTCCCCTAAACCTGGTTTCTCTGTTGAGCTTTGCAACCGCAGCCACCTTGGGCTGCTCACATGTCAGCCGTTCCCCCCCCCCACATCCTGCCCACCCCCTGCCCAGAATCCTTTCCAGCCAGCAAGTTTGGCATCTCCTTGCAAGGTGCAGAAAACAAGCAAGGGAGGTTTGCAAGGATTGGGGGGGGGGAGGAACTCATGGTGGGGCCAATGCGCCCGAAGATCCCATCCACCTCATGCCAAGAAGAAGGGGAAAAAAAAAACGCAGGAAGGAGAAGGAAAGAGCATTTTGGGGTGATAAGAAATACCCTCCTCTTCCTCCCCTCCCCCCAAGATGCCTCCACTCTCACCCTCTTCGTTCAGCCCCATAACAATAGCCTCCCCCACCTTCCCAACCCCCCCAATTCAATCAAGAGAATTTGCTCCCCCGCTGTGCAATTAATGGACTTGCTTAGGGATTTAATTGCCTTCCTTCCAAAGGATTAACTTCACAGTTGCTCAGTTGGGAGGAAGCTGGAGGGGGAGGGGGAAGGGAAGAGACCCCCCTCCAGTGAACCTGCCTGGTGGGGGGGTATGCCCCCCTCTTCTCCCCAGCAAAGCAAAGGGTGGGCCGCTAATCATTCACCGAAGTCAGAAAGCAAGAAACCCGTGTTGTCCCTTGGCATCCTCACAGTGACTCCCATCTTCTTTGCAGAGGTTCCCCCCTCCCCTGAGAATCTCCACATACACACACACACCCCCCAAATATTTACAGGCCACCCATCCTCTTTTGCTCCATGCCCCCCCCCCAGGCATCCATCCACCCCTCTTAAAGCTCCCAAATTTGACAAACACTGATTTAGCAATGAGGAGATGCGGGCGAAAAGCAGGAAGACGTGATGGAAGGAAGGAAGGAAGGAGACGGAGGGTGAAAAAGCAAAATCTGGAAAAGAGGACGGGGGTTACTGACCATACGCCGAGTCGCTGAGGCTGTCGTGCTCCCCTGTGGATGTCACACCATCTGGAACGCAAAGGGGGGGCAAGCGAAGGGCTGCGGTCAGTATCTGGCTTCAGCCAAGGGGGCCCAGCTCACCAGCAGAGAGCAGAGGCCGCCGGGGTGCACCACGCTGGCCACCAGCTTTTATAGCCACGATACGAAGGATGCAACCACGTTGGGGCCCCAAGAACACACCCTTATTTGTCTGAAGAGCCAACACTAGCCAGGAATACAACCGGCGTTTGCAATTCCCCCCAAATGCTTGAAAAATTTCTTCTTGAGATTGTCACCCCTCCGGGCCAAACGTGGCAACTCGGCTGTTTGTCACCTGCCTGTTAGCCTCAAGCCACAAAGGGTGGCTGTGGTGTTTGCAGCCGTGTCGGGCAGCAGCCCTGCCTCCCCCCCCCCCACATTGTGGGTCACGACAAAGGTGGATTTTAGGGCCCCTCCAGGGTTCAGCCGTTCTTCCTCCTGTTTCTGCTTCTCCAAAAATCACCCACCTTGACAACTGGTGGAGGGCTTGGCGGCGTTCTCCAGATCCTGCTCAAATCCGCTTCTGCGGGGAAGCGAGAAGAGATGTCTCATTAAATTAGGGGCCGCTAATTAGTCAATTGGGCGGCATCCAGAAGGAGGGAAGGCAAGCAATGTTCACACACAAAGGGCCCAGAAGTGATTCCCATCCTCAGGATTGGCCAATGGGGAGAAGAGTGGACAAAGATGGGGTGACGGAGGCTGCGGGAAGGAAGACCCTACGAGAGAGGCAGGGGTCTCTTCGTGTCTGCTAAAATCCTAACCTCTCGGGGGGGTTGTTTTTTTAAATTGATTTTTATCCAAGCCATCCGACAAACACGTTTCTAGTCCTCATGGCTAGAAAGGAAGAAAAGGACAAAGCCGGTCTAGGAAGCCTCTCCCCCCAACACAAATTCAAGCTTTGGTTTCTAAATTCTAGGCAGAATAAGGGACGGAAGTAGTTGTTCCATTTCAGGTTTTTTTCTAAACAAAAAAAAACACACCCTTCTTTTCCCAGCACAAATTCAAAGGGAATAATAAAAGTTAGCAGAATAGGCAGCGCTTAAAAATAATACACGCGACGCCTTTGGATGACCTGATTTCCTGATTGCCGAAGTTTGCGCAAGTCCCGGAGGGCAGCCAAACGCAATAGGGATCCCGGGAAGCCAGGCAACTCCTGCAAAGAGAAAAAAAGAGGAGGGGAAATGTTCGGGATCCCCCCTCCTTAGAACTGGGGTGAGTGCACACCAACCCCCATGTTTACTCAAAGGAGAAGCACAACTGAGAGAGGGGAGAAAAGGGTTTGGTTCCCAGCTATTGATCACAATAGAGCCTCCAGAGAGAGGGGCAGTCTATCCCGGAACACCACCAAGTTTTTTTCCTTCGAACTCCGAAGCCTCGAAATGGCCCCACGGATCCCTCCCCTGGACTACAACTCCCCCCCCCAACACCAACAGTCCCCCGTTCCCAGGTTCCCACCCCCAGCAGGGAGAGATGCTGGGCCCCTCAACTCTCCTACCTGCGGCAGGTGCCGTGGGACCCGCAGCGGCTGAGCGGCATCCGCACCACGCACCCGGAGAAGGCCACGTAGAGGGCGTGGTTGGCCTTGTCCAGCTGCAGCCCCAGGATCTGCCGATCCTCACGCTTCACGCTGCACCTGTGCAGGTAAGGCAGAGAAGAGTGGGGTGAATCCTCTCGCTCTTGGCACACTCTGCACTGCTTGTTCTGTGATTGTGGTGTGTGTGTGCGTCAGCCCAGCACATAGCAGTGGGAAAACTCTATCTATCTATCTATCTATCTATCTATCTATCTATCTATCTATCTATCTATCTACCTACCTACCTACCTACCTACCTACCTACCTACCTACCTACCTTATCTACCTTATCTATCTATCTATCTATCTATCTATCTATCTATCTATCTATCTATCTATCTATCTATCATTTATATCTATCATCTATCATTTATATCTGTCTATCTATCATTTATATCTATCATTTATATCTACCATCTATCATTTATTATCTATCATCTATGTCTATTTATCATTTATGTCTATCATTTATATCATTTATATCTATCATTTATTATTATGATTTATATCTATTTATCATTTATATCTATTCATCATTTATATCATTTATATTTATCATTTATTATCTATCATTTATATCTATTTGTCTATCTGTCTATCATCTATCAATTTTCCCTCTCTAGCATCTGTCTATTTACCCATCACCTCTTTCTAACATCTCCTTCTCTCTCTATCATCTATCCTCCATCTATCCCTCCATGATCAACCCTCTAGCTATCATCTACCCACCCACCCACCCACCCAAAAGAGCTACTGTTCTCTGTTCTGAGACTGGGGTCTCTTAGGAGAGACAGAAAGAAAAGGGCCAGGGGACGACGGCGTCCAGAAGCAGCTGCTGGAGGAAGCAGCCCTCGAAAAGAGATGAATTTTAAAAAAGTAAAAACGGGGCTGGAAACAAGAAGAATTTCACCCAGGAGGGGGTGCAGAACTGACAGGGAGTGAAGACTGAGCTTCTGCGCCGATTTCTATGTATCCTTTTTTAGTGGCCAAGCGGGAGGTGCCACTTCATTCGGCGGGCCCAGTTCTGCGCCCTCATCTCCCTCGGCCCCGGCGGGCGTCTGGGGGCTCCTACCGGGAGGGCTGGTAGACGGCGACCTCTTCCAGGAGGAGGGTCTGCACCGTGTGGTTCCCGGTGGGCCGGGAGAGGACCTTCAGCACCGTGCCCTCTTCCGAGCCCAGGAACAGGACGGTGCCGTTCCGGGAGGGGCCGGCGGAGGCATCCACAGCCAGGCGGGTCAGGCGGTACCTGCGTGGGAAGAGAAGGAGTGAGAGAGAAGTGACATCATAATAACCCAGGACCCCGAGGAACGGGGCTGCCAAGGAGACCCCCTTCCTCTACCTGCTGGAGGTCTTGATGAACCAGGGCTGCTCGGCCACGGAGGCCACGGCTTCGTCCAGGAGGGGGTGGGACTTGATGAAGCTCAGCGTGGCGTCGGGAAAGTCGTTGGAGGTTCGGTACCCCGAGGCTTGGCCAACCCCAGCGCAGCTGCCAGGTCTGCAGAGGAGGGACCCCAAAGGTGACAGGAGGCAGGAGAGGGAGACGGCAGTGCTTCGAAACGTAGCCTCGAGACACTGAGGACTAGAAACTTTTGTTCTGGTTATGAAGAAGCGGCTGACGACCCTCGGTGGCCTCCGCGTCCACAAGTCACCAAGGGGATGAATGAAGCCACACAAGGGCATTTTCATTTGGGATTACACCCCTCTTCCAAATCTCTTTTCCATTTTTTTAAACTCGGCCCCCCAGGCTTTTAAAAGTCTCTTTTCACGAGCCGGTAACTCAAGAGGTTTAAACTTCTCTTAGGGGCTCGAAACTTGATTGGAAAATTAGTTTGGAGAGAGGAGAGAGTAGGGAGGGAACGCGCAATTGGATCAAAACAGGCCTGGGGGGCAGCGAAAGGAAGGAAAAAAAAATACCTGGGTGTGGGGACTTTGTCCTCGGAGATGGGGGTCCAGCCGGCATCCGCATTCTTCTGCTCTTTGAATCTCCCGCCGAAGACCCTCTCCACTTCGTCCATGTAGAAGGCGCAGACGGCTGAGCCGGTGATGCTGGGTTCAAAAGGAACCCCAAAACAGCCTCAGAACCCAACCTCTGCCCTCTGCCTCTCGGGTCCTGCAAAGCCGATCTGAAAGAACCCTCGGCAGGACCCGCACTCAGCTCCTGCCCGGCCGAGCTTCCAGACCTGGACAGAGAGAGTGGCCGGCAGCTCCGATTCTTCCCGTGTTCGGGAAGGCCTCCGAGCCTTGATCCGGTTACCTGTTGAACTGGGTGCTAAAGATGCCGAAGACGGCCGGCCGGCCGTTGACCAGGATGATGTCGGTGACGGCCTGAAGGACATCAAAGTAGAAGAAGGCATCCCCGGGCACGGAGCAGTTGAGCCGAGCCTTCAGGAACGACGTCCAGTATTTCTCCAGCACCCGAGGGGACCCCCCCATGTCGTTCTTGCAGACCCTCCCCACGCGGGAAAAGATCACCTGGGATTTTCAGAGGAAGGGAAGGCAAAAACAGGAGGTTAAACCCCTTGAAATCCCTTCTCTGGAGACCTTTAACACCCCACAACTGCAGACCTAGCCCAGAATAAACCATGCACGAAGCAAAGCCTCCATGTACAGGAGCAGCGTGCTTTGAGTCCCAATCCCATCTCTCCGGCACGAAAAGAGAATTAATCAAGGCACGAAGAAGAGAAGAGAGAGGGCAATTGGTGGCTGTTAAGCCTCCACAGACAGAGGCAGTCTCTCTTAATGCTGCAAATAAAACCAGGGAACTTTCTGGAGAGTGAGGACAAGTGAATTTGAACAAGTGCCTTGAATCCAATTCACCAGCTGTCTTTTTTTCCCACAGACTGGAGAAAAAATATAGAGAGGGAAACGGGGGATCCCCACCCCACAGTTGTTCTCCAGGCCCTTCTGGAAGTGGGGCAAGGTGGGCGCTCACCCGCCCCAGCGTGGTGTATTCCACGGAGATCTCACGGAAGAAGAAATAGACGTACTCCTTGTATTCCAGGGCGTGAATAAAATGAGGTTCTGCAGGGAGAAAACAGCACTGAAGAACACGACAAATTTGGGGGCAAGGATGAGCGTTTTGGGGTGCAGAAAGCCAGAGAGGTGAAGGCAGCTTAGGGGAGCGTCGGAGACTGCCTCACCTCGTAACCATTTGGAGTCGTATTTCACCGTCCGCAGAACGGGGCTGCGCTCGCCCAGACTTCGGTAGATAACCGTGTCGCTGGCTTGGAAGTCGGCTACGGTGGCAGAATAAAGGTTCCCGTCTGGAAAGGGGGGAAAAAGGGGGGAAACTCTGTGGGACTGGCCGGTTTTGGGGTCACAGCATCCAGAAGTAACTTCCTTATCAGCAGGGGTATAGAAGCAGGCCCCTCTCTCTTTCAAATCCTTCGTTGGTCTGGTTCTCCATTTTTTCCAGCCTCTTTTCCAAACACCACTAACGGTTTCTCGAGTCTCTGCCCCTAAATTTAGCTAAATGTAGACCCTGCTGACCCTGTTTCCTGGTTCATTGATCACCCCCTAATTAACTTGATATTTAAATTATTTCTGGGGCTGCCCACCTCACCCCAGGGACGCTGGCTTCAAACCACTGGAACAACCTGGAGCGATGGAGAGTTTAGGAAGGCTTTAAAGAGGACGGAAAAGTGAATTTAATTCCCCCAGTGCATGAAACAGCCTGGGGAAGGGGGGGCAGAGTCCAGAGACAAACCTACCGGCAAAGATGGCCACGTTGGTCTGCTTGGTATCAAACGGGCATCGGGCCTGCCCGTTCATCTCCTCGCCTTCCTGTTGAAAGTCGCTGATCTAGCGGCCAAGGGGAAGGGCGGGGTCAGTCAAGGCCCCTCCTCCAGGGGAGAAGCCCCGCCTCTAATGCCCAAAACGACATAAAGTCTCCCCCTGGCATTGCCAGCGGGGTGGATGGAGGGTCCCCGAAAAGCCTCGCTCGCTCTTACCTTGTATGTCCGGCACACCGGATGGAAGGCGTTGGTGCCACAAGCTAAGAGGCTTTGGTCGTTCTTGGGCACCAAAACTTTGATGTAGTTGTAGCATTCGTCCTGCGGTGGGAGGAGAAAGGTCAGTCCCCGTGCCCAGCAGGGGTGGGTGGGCGAGGGTGCAGAGGTGGTGCCCGCTGAACGGGCCGCTCTTACCCGAAGCTTCCCGCGGACGGCACAGTTCTCCATGTCTTGGGTCTTCCAGGTGAGATGCTGAGAACAGAAGGCAGAAAGAGGCAAAAGAGCCCGGGGTCAGATTGCGGAGAGCAGCAGGGATTCGTTTGGGGAAGGGATTTAATGTAAAGGATCTCTAGGTTGCCCCCTAAAGGATCCCAGCAGCCCCCAATGAAAGTCTTGACTTGCGACAGTTCGTTTAATGACCATCCCCTCCAAAAAAAAAAAAAAAAAAGGAAGAAAGGAATGTGGAAAAAAATATCTTAAAAAATTGATACGGGGGCACAAGCGAAGGAAAATGGTACTCAGGAAAAAAAAAACGCCAATTTTTCCCTCTGTGGACTTTGAAACAAACTTTCTCACTGGAGGTCAAACAATAATAACCACCAAAAAAAAAAACCAATATACAACTTTCGAGAAAAACGTTTAGAGGCTGGGAGGAAGTCAAAGGGGGCGACCCTGGTCTCCAAAGGCCAGCCTTGGGATCTGGGCACCAGCAAGGACATCCAGCTCACCCTCTTGAGAGAGAAACTGCCTGTGGTCTGTCCGAGGTCAAAAGCGAAGACGTGGTCCCTAAAATCCAGACAGGGGCAGGAGAGAAAGAAGGAAGGAAGAGAAAGAGAGAAACAAGCCTTGATTGACATTTTAAAAGGACCGGAGTTTTGTTTTATGCTTTTGAGCCGGGAGGAGCCCCCAATTTTTAATCTCGGCATCCCAATTTGGTGGGAGAAGAGAAGAAAAGGGGGAGAAACACCCCCCCCAGCTCTGGGTGCCCATTTCCATTTTCTAAAGCTTTGCCCAAATCTTTTTGGCTGGTGGGTTCTGCCCTTCGTGCTACTTCTGAAATTTTCCATCCTGCCTGAATTTACAGACTCGCAACCAGACAAATTGACCTTTTGGCACAGCTTCCTACCCCAGAAACAGGGTGCAACACCCACCCCTCCGTTGCCAGCCTGCCCTCCTTGAATAAAGGGGTTGTTCTGTGAAAATAAAGCTTTCCTTTCCCCCCCCCTTTTCCTTCTCCAGCGCACATGGCGCACGTCTCTGGCATCGGCGACGGGAAAGGATAGAAAATAGAGCACCGAACACGGGAGGCAGCGCTCCGCTCTCCTAAAAGTGCTCCCTGATGCTTATTTTTAATGGGATCTGAGCTGCGGGGAAGGAAGATTCAGATGGTGGGGCCAGACCCTCCAACGCTCTCCCCCCAACCGGTCCCTCGCTTACCGGGCAGCCACGAAGAGGGTCTGGTTAATTTGCAACATGCTTTGGAAGTCCAGGCCCAAAGCGTCGGAGTCATTCTCTCCCGTTAAGCCACGGAAGGAGGGATAGAGATAGGTTCCTGGTTGGAGGAAACATAATAAAGAGCATCGGATGGGATATGGACGCCTGCCTTGGGCAGGGGGTGGACTAGAAGGCCTCTGAGGTCCCCTCCAGCCCACGTTTCTATGAAAAAAAGGAAGAAAGGATTGTAAATAAGCAGCTTTGGGGTTTAGAGTCCAGGGGGGCATGACGAAGGGAAGCCAAACCCGTAGGTAGCCCCTTTATCCCGGGGGCACCCAAGGGAGGGGTGAGGGGTGGGGTTCTTTGCCACAGACCCCCAAAGGTCTGTCTGGGGTTTGCGAGGGAGGGGCTGTCCTCACCTGCCTCGCTGACCACGTGGAAGGGAGCCAGGTCTTTGGGGAAGGAAGCCGCCGATGCCAGGAAGAGAAACAGAGCAGGCAGGGGAGAGGTCAGGACCATCCTTTCCGGGGGGGCAGAGAGGATCCGGGGGGCGGGGGGAGCCTAGGAGTCCAGCATGCTCCCGCCCTGGAAGAGAGAGAGAGAGACCCCAGAGGAGGGCTGCAGTTCAACATCCAGGGTGGCATAAAAAATTAAAAAAAAAAAGGCTGGCCAAGAAACGACCTCTTGCGTGGGGTCCTTCCTTCGGCGCGGGGCCTTCTCCGTGGTGGCTCCCGAAATGGGAACTTCTTTTTTTTCACTCCAGAACGGCTCAATTAGATCTCCACAGCCACACCTCCCATCTGAAGCAACAGACAACTTTCTCCCTCCCAGACACTCCAGAGTCTTTGGACTATAGTTTCCATCCTCCACAGTCAGCCTGGCTGGAGGGTTTAGTCCAGACTTTGCAGAAAAGCCACGCAGCACCACGTTTCTGATTTAAGGCCAAAAATGGCCAAGTCCAGTTCCAGCCCTCCTGGTCTCGGCCTCCCACTTTTACCCTCCAGAAAACTCTCCTTGGGGTCTCCATTCCTTCCAGCCCCCTCCCCCTTTGGCTGAAAAGAACACGGGGTCCAAAACGCACTCACTCACGATGAGAGAGCTTTACAAGAAAAGCCTCTGTGCTTCTCCAAGGGAATTTTTTCCCACAAGGATTTCTCTTCTCCCCCCCCCCACCCCTGCAATTAGCCAGCCTCCCTTCCCAGGGGGGGGGTGGGCGAAGGGGAGGGGCAGAGGCACCAACGTCACAAAGGAGGAAGCGCAGGGCACTCTTGACGTGTGGAGGGTCCTTTGGGCACCAGCGGGCGAGAGAAGCCCCAGATGCGCCGCCAGGTGCGCCAGGAGGAACCTGGTGGGGCAGCCGGCTCCTTCCGCAGCTAAATCTCTGCCCCCCCCCCCACTTGATGAAGGCAATCGATGCTGGGAAGGAAGTGAAACAGGATTTGTAGTATCCTGACTGGGGCCTGGGAGGGCAGCCCATGCCAGCCTCTATAAATAGCAGGAAAGGAGACACCCAGTTTTGGCCACGGATGGCCACGGGAGAGAAGACGGTGCGATATTTATGGAGGGACACTCATGTTGTGCAGGAAAGGGCCAGCCGAGCTGCCAAGAGCGTTCCCGAAAGAAGAGAGCAAGCCAATCCCGAAGAAGAGACAAGGCTGATTTTTTTCAAGCGCAAACAAGACCCAGATCCAGATGGGTTTCTAGTCCTCATGATGGAGCGGCTTTCAAGCTAGCAAGTCATCTCTCCTAGCCAGATTCACACACAAACACACACACACAAACTGCACAGTTGCAGGTTTGTGCAAAGAAGGGGGTTAGCAAGTCCCAAGTGCCAGGCTGCCTTCCTTGCCATCTGTTTTCCGCATGTCACCCGCACATCTGCATGGGTAGACACCTCGTGGTCTCTTTTTTTTCTCCCCTCTTTCTCTTTCTCTCCAGACTCTCTCCTCCTCCAAGTCAGCCCAGAAGGTGAGAAAAAAAACCCAGGCATGGATTTGCTTACACTTGTGAAGCTGAACTTTCCAGCAGGTGTATAATTAGAAGCCAGAACTCGGCGGGGGAATTGCTTTCATAATAATTCCATATTTATATTTTTATCTCAGCTGCAGAAGCTGCGGGGAAAAGGCTGGGGTGGGTGGGTGGGAATGGGCTGGCTGTATTGGCCTGGAGCATTGTGTGTGTGTGTGTCCCCCCCCTCGTTGCAAGAAATGGATGCTTTTCCCACCAAGGGGGTCCAAGAGGCAGGAAGCCACAGAGTGGATCCTGGGGATTAGATTGCAAGGAGGGCACGGATCGGGCATCCCGCTGCAGCTGTGCTTTTCAACCTTGGCACCTTTAAGAGGGGTGGACTTCAACTCCCAGAATTCCATGATCAGCATGCCAGTTAGAGCATTCTGGGAGTTGCGAAGCCCACTCCTCTTAAAGCATACTGGCTGGGGGATTCTGGGAGTTGAAGGGCCTGCTCTGGGCCTCCATCTAACATTTGGGGGTGGGTTAAAGCCCACCCAAATGGGGATGGGGGTCTTTTTTTTAAAAACCAGGGCATAAAATCAACCCAGCCTCTGGAAAGTGGCCCGGAAAAAAGCCTGCTAAGGGGAGGGGGCTTTTTGCAGCAGACGGAGGTGGGGGCAGCCCTGGTGGGGTCTGGAAGCTGGTAGAAAAAGGGGGCGGCGGCTGCGGGACCCCCTCTCAGCCATCCTGATGCTTTTGTTCTCTTTTTAAAAACTCCAGTCAAGACTTTTTTTGTGATTGGAGAAGGGGGGGGATACGTGTCAAGCCCAGATCCGGGGGGGGGGAATCGTGTGAAAGGGAGGAGGGATCCCCGTTACAGCGAGAAGCTGCCACCGTGTCAGCCCTTCCCTGAACCATCTGCCAGGCACAACTTTGCCACTATAAATACGACTCCCGACGCCGCAGCCGAGGGTGCTCAGCCTGGCATCTCAGCGCCAGCCAACAGCCGCGCGGCCGCTGTGCCTTGCCAGGCGCCGTCGGGAAGATTTCGAGAGAGATCTTCCAGATCGCACCCCGGGCATCGGAGCCCCAAGGCCTGTCCTTCCCAACCATCCTCCCTCAGCTGCCAGGCTTGTAGCAGGCAGGACGCCCCCTCCAAGAGGCTAGTCCTCATGGCAACCCAGGGTCAAATCTGCCCTCTTTTCTTCCCCGAGATGGAAATAGCTGAATCATGTGAAAAGCAACACACGCAGCAGGGAAGTGTTTCTGTCTGTCTGTGTTTCTTTTTTTAAAAAAAAAACAACCTTGCCTTCTGGCTAGCAGAAAAATATCTCCTTTCCTTTGTCATCATTTTAAGCGGCCGAGCCAGAATCACTTCACTTCGCTTCACTTAATGAGAATCCCCAGGCCTTGAATTTATGATATGGATTTTTTTTTTTTTTTTGGTTTCCAACGGGAGAGAAAAATGAGGATTTTGTTGGATATTTGCAGTGGCCTTTGTGCACGGGCAGATGTTGCAGTGAAATTATCTTTTCAGCACCTTTTGCAAAAAAAAAAAGTCAGTTTTGGTGATGCCTGCTGGCTGGGGAATTTTGGGAATTGAGCTCCAGACGGCTTGAAGTGCCCGGGGCATTCTGGGAGTTGAAGTCCACCCATCTTCAACTTTCCAGGTTGAGAAAGCCCCTTCCGAGGAAACTCATCCAGCCGCAGGGTGGCACGCTGGACTTATGAGACATTCGGCACCGGAATATTGCATCAAGGCGGTGACTTTTTTTGCAGGATTTTCTCCCCCCCCCCCCACTTGATACCTCCAGGGGGAAAACAATTCTAATCACAGTCCAAGCCCACCTCGGTCAGTTCCAGACATGCATTTTTAAAACTACAAAACGGGGGTGCCCCAAAAAGGCACAAAGTCATTGGCTGAAGAGAAAAAGGCTGGGGAGATTCGAAGCTCTCCAAACTCAACACTTATATAGAGGGGGGGGAGGAGAAGAGAAAAAAAAAGGGAGGCTCCTTAATTTTTTTGCCTTCAGGTAGACTTTGCCTGGACATGGAGGTTCCATTCTGAGGTCTGGGAACTCTCACCAAAGCGTTCCTAAAAGCATTGGGAGTTCTGCGGCCATTTCCACCGAATTGCAATTAAAAAAAAAAAAAAGAATTAAAATGTTCACCTGGGGTAGCGAAAAGCAGCCCAGACCCATTGAAATGACTCCGGGGTGGGATGGAGGGAGAGAGAAGAGAAAATTAAGGGATGGGGGGGAGGTCTGGGTGTTCTCCCCCAAAGGAGGATGGATGCGCAAGCAGAGAAGGGATCAGCGGCCCTCCGCCTAGCCAAATCCGGGTATCAAAATCTCATTATTGGAGACTTTGAGGGACTCCCGTCGGCTTATTACCAAAGTCATCCGTCTTTCCTGCCCCGGCTTTGAAAGGAGGGCGGCTGTCTTTCTTCCACCACCAGAGATGAAGGAAAAAAAACATGTCTGGTGCTGATGCTGGCCGTTTGGGAGCTGAGAAGCATTCTAGTCCTCATGAAGGAGAAGGGATGCTTCCCCCGGATGGATATCTTGCACAATTCATTGGGGTTTTCTTCCCCGCTTTCTCTCCCCTCTTTGACTTTCTAATTAGATTTAGAAATAGAGGTCAGCCTGAATTAAAAGAGGGCCTGTTTTCTTCAACCGTATCTTCGTCTCTGTCGGACTGGCCTTAGCGGCCAATAGAATAAATAACAAATTTGTTATTTATTCTATTGGCTAAGGCCAGTCAGATAAGATGAATCTGCCTTTTCTCCTTGGGGCAAAGCACTTCAGGTTAACGGCCTGCCGATGTTTACAGCCAACAGCTTAGCCAAGGAGAACACTGTAACGCTTGCCAGTTTCTAGTCCTCACCGTTTGGCCAGATCTAGGCAGCGGGGCTTATGCAAAGGGAACCACCCTCAGGGCCCTTCCATCCCCTCATTTCCCCTTCATTAAAACAACAGCCTCCCGCCTTTAGCAATGGCTCCCAGCCGACCAGAACAGAAAAACTGGAGAGGATTTCTTGCAAAAACAGCTCCCCGACTCCGACAGGGAGCGAAATGGCTGCCCGGGGAGCAGCGAGGACGGTCTGTGGAAATAACAGGCCTTCTGCCAGGGCCTGGGCTTTGGGGAGGGGCGAGGGGGGAGGCAGAAACAGAGGACCCTTCCTTTTTATTTTGAATATTCCAAACTGCAATTCTGCAAAAGCCTTGGATCCTGCTGGGCACACCGTCCTCTCCATCCCTCTCCCTCTCTCTCTCCTCTGGCATCTTTCCCATCATCCGCACCACCACCACCGACCGGAAGCTTCCTTCTGCAGGAGGGGAGGGGGCTGGGGGACAGATGCAGCTCTGCCTGGCCCAGCAGAAATGCTTTATTACTTCCTGGGAGGGGGGTGGGTCTTTGTCCCACCAGCCAGCCAGCCGGCCCCCAGCCCCCCGGCTACATGCCAGCCCCGCTGGAGGTGGGTGTTTCGGAGTGCCTTTGCCGCAGGCTTAACCGAGCGAAGAAGGAGCAAATTGATAAGAAGGAGCAAATTGATGGGGGGAGACGAG